CATGTAAACCTTTAACTCTAAAACCTTATGTGTATATTTATACACATTAAAATCCAAATCATATTCCTACTATGACCACCAAATAAAATGATAATCTTTAAATAATATATATATTTATATACATATATATTGTATTATATATATAAATACCATCCATAAATAAATCATTAGTTAAATAAATTATATATACCTATATATATCAATATATATTGACATATATACCCCTCCATAATGATTATTAATTAATTATATTTATATACACATAATTGTATATATGCAAAGATAATTATTTAAATATCTTCATAACCATGGGCCTTTAATAATTAACCCAACAAGGCTTCCTTCAAGCCTAAGACCACATCCTTTGGTACAACTTTCCTTAAGTCCGAATCCAATTAATTTAAATAAATCAAATAATTAAAGAAACGCTTAAATTAAAATAACTAATTACACTAAGCACATAGACAAAACAATAAATTACAACTATGTCACACTATACCAATAAAATCAACACGCCAACAATTCAATCAATAATTAAGGACACACACAACAATCATCATATCAATAATCACGAAATATAAATAAAATAAAACAATTAATCTAAGCACTCAATAAAACAAATCAATTAAAAATTAAAATAAACAAAATTAATTCAAATTAAATCAACTAAATCATTTAAAAATAATTAAGTTATGACTGTTTAAATTTTGAGTAACAAAACAGGAATAATAATAGGTTGAGCTCAATAGTTACTGTGAGCGCGACCACACCGAATTATTTCTATGCTGACCAGAAGAAGTCAACGGTCCAGATGCATGCGCGCACCAAATCGTTATGCACAGTGATGCGTTGGATCATCCGCCCCTCATCATTTAATCCAACAGCCATTATTTGAGTGCACACAATGTTTTTCATGTGCTGCGCCACACCGGATTAACGGAATAGTTAAGTCTTACCTATTTATTTATGGATTGTATGGTTTAATGCACCGTTATGGGACAGTGGCATTTCAGGGACGGATTAACCAAAGAAATTAAGTCCGACCTATATATTTATAAGGGAATGGATTAACCATAGAGTTAAGTCCTACTTATTCGTGTCAGGTCAACGGAATAGTTGGATGGCATGCCATTGAAATAATATGGTTGGATAATTTACTTTTATGTTTGGATATAATGGATTATATATATGTGTGCCACGATATGAGCTTGAGTCTCATGATCAGTAGTTAGGATGGAGGCGTATATTGCCAATTGAGATGGGTAGCTGGATTTAAGGATGTGTGGGCCCTGGTAGAAGGAGGACTCGTGACCACCTTTGTGTGCGTTTTACATGAGATACCCATTATCCGGTTGAGACTGCATTAGTCCAGTGAGAGTCTCTAGTGTGTACTTATATTTATCAATTATATAAATATGGAATTAGTTAATTACGAGATGTGTATACTAATTATGAGTATGTGGTGATGGGTTAATTTCCACACGGATAAAAGGAATAATGAAATTTGAAATTAAATAATCAAAATTTTCTTTTGATGGATTCGTGAATTTCGAGGACGGAATTCCTTTTGTTAGGGGGGAAGAATGTAATATCCCGATATTTTAAATGATTTATTAATTAAAATTAATTATTTTTATTTTATTTTTAAATGATTTAGTTGATTTAATTTGAATTAATTTTGTTTATTTTAATTTTTAATTGATTTGTTTTATTGAGTGCTTAGATTAATTGTTTTATTTTATTTATATTTCGTGGTTATTGATATGATGATTGTTGTATGTGTTCTTAATTATTGATTGAATTGTTGGCGTGTTGATTTTATTGGTATGGTGTGACTTGGTTATAATTTATTATTTTGTTTATGTGCTTAGTGTAATTAGTTATTTTAATTTAAGAGTTTCTTTAATTATTTGATTTATTTAAATTAATTGAATTCGGACTTCAGGAAAGTTGTACCAAAGGATGTGGTCTTGGGCTTGAAGGAAGCCTTGTTGAGTTAATTATTAAAGGCCCATGATTATGAAGATATTTAAATAATTATCTTTGCATATATACAATTATGTGTATATAAATATAATTAATTAATAATCATTATGGAGGGATATATATGTCAATATATATTGATATATATAGGTATATATGATTTATTTAATTAATGATTTATTTATGGATGGTATTTATATATATAATACAATATATATGTATATAAATATATATATTATTTAAAGATTATCATTTTATTTGGTGGTCATAGTAGGAATATGATTTGGATTTTAATGTGTATAAATATACATATAAGGTTTTAGAGTTAAAGGTTTACATGTTAGAAAAATAAGAGAGACGGAGAGAGAAGAAAAAAGGGAAGGCTGACAAAGAGGATATCGGACTGTCTGGATTGGAAGTCTTGAAGCGTCGGAACCTTCAAGCGAATTCTTCTCTAACTTTCCTCTTAAAACTCATAAGGATTTCACCTTGAGTATCAACACTTTAATTAAATTATTAATTTAAATCTTGGTTAGAACGTATTAATCAAAAATATTAATTAATTTTATTTGATTAAATTAGAATAAAATCAGAGTATTAAAAGCATGTTTTACTATTATTTTGTTTTTGGAATTGTTGAATTTTAATTATATATATATGTTGTGTATATTTAAAATCATTGTTATCCTTAATCTGTGACCCAAGAGAGTTAATTAGGATTTATAGAAGTTTTGGGAATTTTCTAGGATTTCTCTAGAATTTTCTAAATTTTCTGAATTTATTTTATATTTTTTGGAATTATTTTAGAATTGATTTCTATATTATTTTGGCAAATTATATAAATATTGTTTATAAATATACACACTGGAGGTGTCAGTTGACTGCGCAATAGTAGGGTTGTAATCCAATGTTTGCATGTGCATAGGAATAGGGTACATACGCTGATCTGGCCCTTGGTTTATTTTAGTATAAGTGAGTTGATCTAGTGTAATGGAGATGCATGGAAATTAGGTGTGCACTAGATCTGGACCAGGTAGTAGGTCTGGTCAACAAAAGAATAATCCGGTGTGGCGCAGCGCATGAAAAACATTGTGTGCACTCAAATAATGGCTGTTGGATTAAATGATGAGGGGCGGATGATCCAGCGCATCGCGGTGCATAAAGAATTGGTGCGCGCATGCATCTAGACCGTTGACTTCTTCTGGTCAACATAGAAATAATTCGGTGTGGTCGCACTCACAGTAACTATTGAACTCAACCTATTATTATTCCTGTTTTGTTACTCAAAATTTAAACAATCATAACTTAATCATTTAAAAATAAAATAAAAATAATTAATTTCAATTAATAAATCATTTAAAATATCGGGGTATTACAGAAATAGACATCTCATTTCCTTCGAAATATCTCCTATTCCTCTCGAGCCAAATACATCACCACACACACAGAGGCGTAGCCCTCCAAACATCCTGAATATGAACCCACTGTACAACCTCTCCAAGCCTCAATCAACCCTCTAGAGGATCTAGGCATAACCCAGTGAATCCCAAACAAAACCTAGATGGGCACTGTATATTATCTTCTTTCCCCAAGGTAGACTTCATCTGATGCCTGTGTTGCCCATGGGCCCCACAGTTGCCATGTTTCCCATGCACATTTTTTTCCCCCTTCTAATATACCTTTTAACCTTGCCGGGAAAAAAGAAAATAATACGGTATAGCTTATTAGAAAATATGTATGTGAAAATACTTGCAACAGTGTTTTGCATGCAAGTTTGTTTGTATCAATATCAATAAGAATTTTAGAAAAAAGGAATGAAACCTTTTGGGTTTTAGGAAAGAGAGAGAAGGAAGGAAAAACAAACTCTTCCACAATGGCCAAACATCCTTGTATGTATACACACATTTGTATAACATTTAATGCTTATACAAATAATAATCCGTGGCATAAGTGTACTTTGCCATTTATTTTTGTGAGTAAATTGTTCGGCAGGACCTCGAGCTTGCCGGGAAACTGACAGTGTGTAAGATAACATAATATCCGTACTGCTTCAAAGAGAATGGTTGATCCAAAAGATCACCAAAAAGTCCCTTCAGAAGCATGATCAAGTCACACACCTTTGTTGTTCAGTGATCGAATCTTGTACCGGCTCATGAATTTCGCTATCAATTCTGTTGAAAAACACACGAGTGATTTATTGTAATGTTAATTATGTAAGGAATATAATACTTTACGTGTACATAATACATATTTGGCTGTTCTAAGGTGAAAAAATGACATTTTTTAATAAAGAAAACTGAATTCAGGAAGAAGAAAAACCATAAAGAAAACTGACATATAACTTCTAAAAAGTGTATCCAAACAATATCTAAACTTCAATATTTTGTACTTCACTTGTGATACTTTACAAGGGTAATTGTGTTTCCTGCTTTTGTTGCTGTGTTTCCTTTTGTTTTCTTTGGTTCTACAATTCTGTATGTCATGACTCATGTTACACACAGCATATTACAGTTGTAGTGTCTTAAGATTCAATTTGGACACCCCTGATTTAATTGTGGGAGGTACATGCCTGTACCATTAGAAGCTATAAATCCTAGGTGCAGAGGGAAATGGGGATCAGATTAGACAAAGAGTGGCCGCCATACTTTCTTTCATCTTTAGATCATTAAATTAGAATTTAATTTACCAGCAATACCTCACCGTGTAGTACTTCACAATTATATATTTTCACATGCATAGATCTTAGGTGATCCTTGGTTAACCAATGAATTGTCAACTGTAGTGAATTTCTTATGCACAAGCAGTTTCCGCAATGACTATAGGCAGAATCAGAAACTACTGAAATCTTAACAGGATAATTCCCAACTTCATTCACTCAAATGACAGTTGAGCTGTGGGGTGTCCAATTCAATAGCCTTTGTTTACCTCATCTAGCACAATGTAATAAAAAAAAATGTGTTCGCTATGATCAACGATTGTTTTACCTTCAATCTTCATGAAATGTTGAACATGCCTTCTCCTTGGGTTATCATCTCTTTTGTCCATTTCCTCTTGTCGACTATGTGCAGAGCCAAAACGCTTCTCGTTGTCATCATCCCTCTGGTAAAAAAAAAAAGAAAAAGAAAAGAAAGGATGGCTGTTATGCTGCCATTTGCACTTGATTGAAGAATATGCTAAACTATTGAAATAAGGAAATGCAAGTTGATACATCAGGGTTCATACATGGTATTCCTCGGATAGACAATTGATTTGTGTTTCAAATTGTTCATCCATTTGCTTCTTTAATTCTTCGGCCAGGGTCTACATATGAAGAGAACTAATTAGTGAACTCCTAAACCCTTAGAGCCAGACATAACATAAGGATTGCGAATCTCTTACTTTGATAATGTAGTCTGGAGACACATTGTGCTCTATAAGATTTTGAAGCTTTCCGCGGATGATATATAGCCTGTGGAGACAAATTAGCTCTATTTGAGGTTACAATTCAAAATAATGGGTATAGACAGTTCGAATGACATACCACTAGAGACACCTGAAAAATTAAATGTTCGTTCTAAAGAATTTGGAAGATACACACCTGAAGATTTAAATATTTATCCTAAAGAATTTGGCAGAATAGAAGAAGAAATGGACAGACAATGATTTAAATGTTGGTCCTAAAGAATTGGCAGAAGTCAACTTACTGTTTTGGGGTCTGCTCTTCAACTATATTTCTGGCAATGTTGGCAATATCGTCTTCCCACCCAGTCAGGATTTCTTGATCCTCCTTGAAGGATGAACTATATGTCCATTTTGGCATAACAAAAAAATGTAGATAGATAAGGTAAAAAATTGGTAAAATAATTAAATAAATAAATAAAAAGGATTGATTCTGCAGTGTAATTATATGTATATTTAAGTATGGCTGGACACCATGAAAGTTTGGACTTTTTTACTTAGATTGCCAGGTAGCCTCAAATGAACGAATGGCTTGGCGTAGGTTATTCTTGGAGTTGTTAGAGAACTTTTCAGCCAATTGACGCGGTAATTCTATGCCTTCTTGTTTTGCTATGAACTCCAGAACTTGAACAATCTGAACAATAAGAATGGAACTTTGAAACAATTTGAAGAGACTGTCTGCAGAACTTGTAGCTAAAAGTATGAGGTTCCTACCTCTTCACTAGAAGGCGGAAGGAGATGAACAACGGTGCAAAGCCCCTTAATCGGCTGAAGCTTTGAGACGTCAGCGCAACAAAAGAACACCTTATTATTCCCTCTATACCTTTCTAATAGCCACTTGATATACAACAGGGAATCTGTAGAAAGCTTGTCTGCCTCATATAGAATGATTGCTGCAAAAATCATTACAAAACAGTAAGGGTCATGTTGTTAGCAATTTGGAAGTACTTACTTTTGAGAGCTAACTCAGTGATACCTCGACAGTCCCTTCGGCCGGACTTCAAAGGTTTGTTGGATAACCTGCTATTTGATTCTTTGATAAGTTCAATAAGGACATGCTTCTCATACCCTTTAAGGTCCGAGAGATTTACTTCTACATGTTGTGGGGACTCCATTACATGTACTTGGATACTGCCTATACCTTCCCCCTGCAATAAATGTTCTGTGATGTCAGTTCACAATATACTGCTGATTTAAATGGTAATACAAAGAGTGGTGGTATGGGCATGTTTTTAGCAAGCATTTTGGAGTACTCTCATTTCCCTTTTGAAAGCCAAAAAAATGGAGAAGTATTTGATTTTTCCTCCTGAGAGCAAAGAAGTTATTTCCAAAACTATTGATTGAACACCGTAAATGTAAGTATCCAAAGTTCTGTTATATGGAGACAAAAATAATGGAGGATGAATCACTCTGCAGTTGGTTTCTGGTGATTCCATTTGCATTGTGTTTGTTTCTATTCCTGTCTGAGAGCATGGGTATAATTTGTGCACGAAGGTTCCTCTAGGAATTTTCTTTCTTACTTGAAGTGTAACCAGCATTGTTTTCAGAATGAGAACCAACCATAACAATGTATATTCTTTTCATGCTTCGCAATTTAGACAATACAAATTTCTGCCAATTAACACCTGGGAACTTGGATTTAGAAAAAGAATGAAAGAAAGAAAAATGTTTCCGGATTTCAGAAACATATTAAGAGGGAAGAATTGATTATTCTACTCTCAGCTTAGCAGCAAAGAGGCTACTGACAAAAACACAACTTTCAAGTGAGGTAATGACTTTTTACTCATAAAAATTAAAAGTGAGGTAATGACTTTTATAAAAACAGAGAAGAAAAGGAATGCTATCCAGACATTGAGAAGGACCTTTGTTGTTCTGTATAACATTTAAGTTCTCAACCTTTGTTGCTCTGTATAACATTTAAGTTGAGTACTTGGTTAAACCTATTTTTTACTCTTCCCTTTCGTTATGGACACACTTTAGGTTTCTTAAATTGATGTTTAGCTATATCCAAATCTCTTTCCATTGTAATGCTATCTAGAAATTGAGGAGGACCATTGTTGCTCTGTATAACATTTAAGTAATACTTGGTTATACCTCTTTTTTTACTATTCCCTTTCATTTTGGACACATTTTAGGTTTCTTACATTGATGTTTTAACTAAATACCCAATTCGCTTTCCATTGTCACATTTTAGTTAAATTTTATGTCACATTTCCTCTACTTATCACCACATTCTACCATTCCAACTTCCTCTGCTGATACCCATGGTTCACGGTAGGAAATGTTCACATTAAAACTATTGTAGAATTAAAGTTTTCTCTTTTTCCTATCATCATCAGAATTTTCCCGATTCTTTTGATTCCATTACTTTGCCAGAGAATTAGAATTCAATCCTGTTCTTGAGGCCACTAGCTCTCAACCATCAGTACGTTATCATTGCAAACAAGCTGTACTAGATATTGTTATCTTCCTCTATCTCTGTTTATACCATTTACTCTCCAATACTATGTGATTTGTATGGTTGGGAATCAGATGACACTGCCAAAATGAGATTTATCATGAGAAGAAGACAATCAATTAAAGTAAAGAACTACGGTTGAACTCTGAGAGTGTACCTTCAAGTCAAATTCTTTATATTCTTCTCTTGCCTGTGTAGCATAAAGCAAACACGGTTGTCATTAGTTACCCCAAAAATGGACATGAATGAACAAAAATTATGCAGTATGTAGAAATCATATTTCACCCTCGTCTTAAAATCACTTTACAGAAATCAAAATTAAAGATCAATTTAGTTCTTCCATGGCGTCAATTGGCTCATTCCCCAATCCAACCTAAGTCTTAATGTTATGAAATGGTCATGTCCATAAGACAATTCAGTTGCCCTCAAAACTTATTATTAGTTCCTTGTCTGAAGTGGTATAATAAGTGACTAATTGAAGGCAAAACATGTATTTGTGTGTGTGTGTGTGTGTGTGTGTAGATATGTGAGATTTATGTCCAGTACCTTTACTCTGTCTGGTCCAAAAGCTTCGCGAAGCAAAGCCCAAATCATAGTTCTCTTTCCCACCCCTGGATGTCCTTGGAATATGAAATGACCACAGTTATAGTCTTTCGCCTGCAAGATCGTTCGAGCCAGCTTATTTCAATATTGCACACACTTTAAACTTCTCAATTCTAGTTACATTTTCGAGTAACATAGTGAAAGGGAAAAAAAAAAAAAAAAGCAGAAGAAGAAAAAAAAAACAGAGATATATCACCATAGCTTGCAGCTCAATTGCTTTATCCCGATTGCAGATAAAATCCTCGAGTGACTCAGGCCGATACTTGTCTGCCCAAAGGAACACACTCTCATTCTCCATCTTTTTGGCATCCTTCTCATTATGTAAGACTCTTTTCCCAGGTGATGTGTGTGCTGCTTCTGGTGGTGGTGGTACCGATGATTCTGGTGGTGTTGCTTCTGGTGGTGGTGGTGGTGGTACCGATGATTCTGGTGGTGGTGATGGTGGTGGGGATGGCACTTTTATTGGTGGTGGCGGTGATGGTACCGATGGTTCTATTGGTGGTGTCGGTGGTGGGGATGGAAGTTTCATTCGTGGTGGTGGGGATGGAACTATTATTGGTGGTGGCGGTGATGGCACTGATGATTCTAGTGGTGGTAACGATGGTGGGGATGGCAATTTTATTGGTGGTGGTACATATAATTCTGGTGGCGGTGAAGGTGGTGGTGGTGATACTCTCTCCCTCAGTGGCATCCGACTCTCCAATAAAGCAATATTGCTTTCTGCAAAAATTAAGTCTTTCCTCTCCAACCCCAAATCCTTTGTTGTCGTTTTAGCTTCCACTCTTGTTGATGACGACGAAAATGATGAAGCAGCATGGACAACCTGAGGGGTCTGATCCTTACCGAAAATGCTAAAGCAAGATTGCATCTTGACGATGAAACTCGATTTTGAGCTGGTAGTAACAGAAGTGGCCACAAAGCTCTCTCTCCCGGGACTGGACACAGAAACTCTCTGTCGACCGAGAACAAGGGACGAGTCAGTGAGCCCTTTGTAGTATGGACTATACACAGAGTCCCTCCTGTCATTGAGAACTTCATTCCTCCTATTAAATTCCTCAAGACTCTCTTCGGTCAAGTCTGAGTACTCGGCCGGAGAACCATTCTTTCCTGTTATCAAGTTACCAATCTTCTTCGACCAACCATTCTTCAATGACTTGGTTGAGCATGAAGAGCGGTTAGAAGTAGGGATGTGGCAGGATTGAGAGTGAGAGTGAATAGTTAATGAGATGTTGGGATCCGAGGAAGAACGCGGGATTGCTGGACTCGGCATTGAAGAGCTGTGCTTGAAAGCCAAGGCCCTTTTTTTTTCCGCAGGAAAGAAAAGAAGCTATGAAGGCTACGGTATGCTGATTGTGATGTGATGTGAGGAGGCAATGTGTGGATTTTTGTAGTTTCTGCTTAATAATTCATTTTTTGGCGGGGATTACTAAAGAAGAAATATTCATGTCGTTACAAACTATAGCTTGTCACTGTGAGAGTCAACATATACTCAGCACAAATATGTATACATTTATAAAAGCGGGTTAAACATTCCAACGCGACTTTTGGACGACCTATAATTGAATCTCTCTTAAGCAGAACGATGACAGAATAGTAACTTACTGTTCATTATATAATATTATAATATTTATACTATGCAGACTTCAAAGCATTAACAATATTTAACAGATATGTTAAAACCATCTTCCTCCTCTTCAGGAGTACAAGATTCAAAATTGATAAAAAATACTGAATTAGTGGAATGGACCAATGTTCAGAATAAATTGAATAAATGGACCATCCCTCCAGTAAATGCTAAGAGCATTTACAAAATCGGAATGCTTAATCTCGCTGATCTATGGACTGTCAAGACTATGGAACAGACTATGCAATTAAGCACTCAAGACACAATAATTAAATTGTTGTCTTCCCGTGACCTTCAGAGGCACATGCACAAATATAAGTACATCCATATAGGTTTAATTCAAATTACTTTTAAACCTTTAACCTTGCTAGGTATGGATGCTTGTATTCAAGCAACCCTTCGGGATGCTAGATGTCTGAAATTTCACCCTTCTTTAATGGGTGCATTGGAAATCAGTCTATGGCATGGACCGGTTTATTTTAATGTAGATCCTAGTCTGAATTTATCTTTAACAGATAAAAATATACATGAGGCAGTTAGTCTTCGTGTTCAGACCTATGGGTATGATTATTTACCTGGATCGGAAGTGATAAGTGTTATTTATCGCATTCATTACAAAGTACTTGATACTATGTGTCCAAATGCCATACGCAAAGATTCTCAAGGAGTAACAGCGTTATGGGACACCAATATGTTCACATCAAATGTTGCCACAAAAAGGATGATTCCTTGGAGTAAAATAACATTTCCTGAACATTGGACAATTTCTAACGCAGTTCCGGCGAAGCCAATTGCTAATCATAGCTTGGACTGTGTTATTCAGGACCAAGATGGTGCTGTTTTTCTGAATTTCAGAAAATCATTAGATCTCCCCAGATCTACATCATCTAAAGGAAGTTATCTTCCTTATCATGTTTCTTGTCCTCCTTCTCGCCATTCGATTTCGTCGGATTACATAAAGGAAGATTTCCCTGAAGTCGTTGGTACAAATCAACTCAAGCTGAAAGGAATACAGCAATCTCAGAATCAAATTCCAAGAGGAGTGTACGAGAAAACACCAATAGGTATGTCTCGTCGCCAATTTGGAATTGAATTCAGCCCAACCCCATCAGAAATGGGAATCGGAAATGAATCTGTGAAGGATCAATTTGACGATCCTACAAATATAAATGACCCTCATGAATATTAGTTTTAATGGATTTTGTCCCAGATAGAATTGCCATTAATACTGAATTTCAACAGGATCAATATACAGAATTCAGAAATTGGTATTTTAAAGCTTTTAACCAAAATCAATTACAGCTTTTTAAAACTCAATTTTATGATTTTCTACAAGAACGCAAAATGGTTATACCTTTTGTTTCTTGGTTCTTTATGACCAATCATTCTCTTGTTAATATAAACATACTGGATGATTTTCTCAAACCATGGACTACATCTGAAGATAAGGTTTACCACTCTGTCCATCCTCCCACTAAACATCTAATTCTGAAAAGGATTGACCCTGACAGTGGTGCAAAAGTGGAAACCAAGGCTTATAGCCAACCTAAGACAATTGATCCATCCTGTAATGCTACTAAAAAAGACATTTCTCATGTTTACAGGCAGAACAATTATACTAATGTTTGTATGCAAACGATAGGGTCCCAGCTTGGGAGAATTGAAACAGAACTAAACACAGTATTAAATACAATTAATACTAAGTGTATTACTGTTAAACCCTCTCCTCCAGAAGCTTCCTTATCCAAAGCATTGGTTAAACCTGCAATTGAAGTTAAAGGCTTCAATCTCACACATCCTAAGAAGAATGAAGAATTTCTTACTCTTTTTACTCAGAAAATTCAAGGACTTAAAATTCAGACTTTATCCCATGATGAATCTGATATAGGTTCTGATTCTGATGTGTTACCTCATATTGAGGCTTTTCAAAAGGATTTCACTCAACTACCTGAGTTGAACAGAATTGTCTATGATAAGAATATCCACTCCAATACAGCACCTGCTCCGAGTAGATATTATTATCCCAGACCCACGCCTCAAGATATCTTGTATGAAGAAGATTATTTTCATACACAGAAATCTTTTCATGGCAAGACCATTTATGAATGGAACATTGATGGCAAATCTGATTACCAGATATATGAGGTTATTCATCAAATGTTGATGTATAGCCAAGTCTGTAAATTAAACCACAACACTGACCCAACTATTGCTAAGTTTGTCTTTACTGATTTTACAGGAATCCTTAAAGGATGGTGGGATAATGTTTTCACTGAAGTTCAGAAAGCTGAAATCTTTTCTGCTACTAAGGTCGTTAAAGATGAAGCTACTCAACAACCAGGACCTGCTCCAGATGCGGTTTACACCCTCATCACCACTATTATCCAACATTTTGTTGGCCCAGAAGGTGCTAATAGTGAACGGAGTCGGGAACTTCTACAGAATTTAAGATATCTATCTTTAACTCATTTTCGGTGGTATAAAGATGTATTCTTGGCAAAGGTTCTTCAACTCAATGATGCAAATCATGAGCACTGGAAAGCAAAATTTGTGGATGGTTTACCAACCTTCTTTGCTGAAAGAATCAGGAAAAAGCTTAGAGATATGAATAATGGTATCTCTATCCCTTACAGAAACTATACCTATGGTGGATTAGTCAACATTGTAATCCAGGAAGGTCTAGTTCTCTATAATGATCTGAAGTTACAATCCCAGTTAAAAGCACAACGATTAACTGGTTGAAAGGAAGTAGGTGAATTTTGTGATCAATTTGCCTACCAGACTCCCTTATCTTATCCTAAACCTAGGAAAAGAAATAAGGCCGAAAAGCCTTCTAAAAGGAAGTATTCTAAGGGAAAGAATTATTCAAAGGAAAAGGATAATTCTCGACAGTATACGAAGCCTAAAAGGAAATATATTCCTAAAGCAAAGTGTAAAGGAAAACCCAAAGCTGAGGCTAAATGTTTCAAATGTGGACGCATAGGCCACTATGCAAACAAGTGCAGAACTAAGGAGAAACTCAGTAGTCTTCACATAGAAGATGAACTGAGACTGCAATTAAGTAAATTATTACTTAATACTAGTTCTTCTGAATCAGAATCATCAGCTGATTATGGGGACGTTGTTATGGAATTACAGTCTTCTTCTTCCTCTGAAGCAGAAGTTGAAAATCCTAGATGTTCTTGTAATCCCTCTCATGATGATTACTACAAGGCAATTGTTGAAATGAATGGGTTAAGCTTAAATGTTTTAACTACAACTCAACAATTCTTATTGGATCTTATAGATCATATCCAGGATCCTCAAATCAAGATGAAAGTCTTTGAAATAGGTTCTGCTTTGGCACAACCTAATGGGGGTACGGATAATCCAGATTTTCTGAGAGCAGAAAATCATTACAGCATGAAGGAAGTTCTAAGCAGATTAGAACACCAAGGACAAAATTCTCGTCCTGCTAATCTCCCTGATCTCAGAATGGAGATTAATCTTTTAAAAGAAGAAATTCGCCAGTTAAAGTCTTGTCAAACTAAGATGGAACTGGAAATTACTCTGTTAAAAGCAAAATCTGCAAATGCAACTTCATCATCCCAGATTGAAGTTCCTCCATCAGAAAGCACGAATTATCTTCAACTCTTGAATCAAGTTACTTACCAAAAATGGTATATATCTATCAATTTGGTAATTAATCAAGAGTACACCATCACTAATGCTATTGCCTTAGTTGATAGTGGTGCAGATATGAACTGTATACAGAAAGGATTGGTTCCTACTCAATATTTTGAGAAAACCACTCAAGGTCTTACCAGTGCAAGTGGTGGTAAGATGCAAATTAAGTATAAACTTAATCATGTTTTCATTTGTAAAGAAGGTATTTGTTTACCATCTACTTTCTTACTCATCAGAAATATGGCACAACAAGTTATTTTGGGCACCCCCTTTCTAGCTTTGATCATGCCAATTGAGAAAATTGATCCTCATGGAATATGTTCTAATTTACATGGCCAGTCAATTACTTTCCAGTTTTTGACCCCACCAGTAAATAAGCATATCAATGCTCTTAAAGATAATATTATCTTTAAGGAAAAACAACTGAATTATTTGCAAAAGGAGGTATCCTCCTTAGCAATTAATCAAAGATTGGTACAACCCAATGAGCAACAGAAAATTGCGTCAATACGACAAAACTTTCTAAAGGAAATCTGTAGTGAAATTCCTAATGCTTTTTGGGCCAGAAAGAAGCATATTGTTTCTTTACCCTATGAAAAGGGATTTACCGATCTCATGATTCCTTCTAAAGCTAGTCCCAGCCACATGAAGGCTGACTACTTGGAATTATGCAAAATTGAAATCAGCTCTTTAATGGCAAAGAAGCTTGTCACTGACAGCCACTCCCCATTGAGTTGCAGAGCTTTTTATGTCAATAAAAATGCTGAAAAAGAAAGAGGAATTCCTAGATTGGTTATTGATTATTGACCACTCAATCTTGCTTTGAGCTGGATCCGATATCCAATTCCCAACATCAAAGATCTTTTAGATAGATTACAATCTACTGTAATATTTTCTAAATTTGATCTTAAGTCTGGATATTACCAGGTACAGATTGCGGAAGAAGAAAGGTATAAAACAGCCTTTTGTGTACCTTTTGG